AATATCACATTTGTAACCATGCTGATTTTTTAAGAAAAAACAGCACTCTTCGTGTGATATGATTAACTATATGAATTGATATAAATATATACATTTTCTGCCTCTTATCTTGAATTATGTGATCATTCTTAATGCATATTAATAGACTGAATCATGCAGTGAAAGAACCACTCTAAATGCACACGCGCACTAAAGCCTGTGTTGGTTTACTCTAACCAGACTTAATCACGTCGCGTATGCACGCCTCTGTAGGTGTGTTTTGTTTAGCTTTTGCAATATACTCGATAACGTCATGATGTCTCACGAGTTCAGTATTTGCGCTAAACCTGCGCAGATTTGGCCTGCATGAACTTCCCCAAGAAATTAATGAGTGAACATAATTTACGAAAAGTAACCCTCCAAATTGGCTAGCGATTTGACCGCGTTACCCGTCACAGCTGATTTTTACCTGCATTTGACAGGTGTTAATTTCAAACCCTGAAAATAACGTTTTATGATTTCTGAAGATCATGTGACACTTTATACTGGAATAATGGCTGATGGAAATTCAGCTTTGCATCACAGAAATAAATGATATTTTAAAGGATATTAAAATAGAAACCATTATTTTATATTGTAATAACATTTTGCAAGATTATTGTTTTTTTCTGTATTTCTGATCAAATCAATGCAGCCTTGATGAGCAGAAGAGACTTCTTTAAGAAACACTACAAGTCTTACTGATCCCAAACCTTTGAATGGCAGTGTAATTAAAATGTTTATTCTTATTTCTCAGTGAAGGATTATAAAATGTGTATTGTTCACAATTGTATAGTTTTTATTTAAATGTATTTGTTCTTTACCTTGTGAAGGAAATGTATTATTTTACCAATGCCAGAAAAATAAAAACTATTTTGTTCAATTTTATACAAATGTGATTTTTTTTGGTTACATTAAAGCTTGTGCATAATGTGACTTCTAAACTGATATAAAAACTATAAAAATGACTGAATAAGTTGTTTTTGTAACTGACAGCGGGTGCGGCTGGGTTTCCAAAGTAATGGTAGAGGTACGTATAGAAAATGTGAATTTTAAATAGTCATAAAAACATAATTAAATACTGTAGTTTTATCTAATACCCAGGTAGCACAGGTACGTCTGCAAGACGTCTGTTAAAGATCGCTTCATCTGGAAAGCATCTGCTGTGTGCAAACATCTGATAGACGTCGCTAAGATGTCAGTTCTACATCATAAACATCTTAAAGACATCTTCTAAACGTCTATTTGACATCTGATAGGAAACGTCCTATAGACGTATTGCAGATTGAAATCCAGTCTGTACGTGTAATATGATTTAGGCAATTTGTGCTTTTGAAGAATTTCATTTCGGAGAGAATTAGAGAATTGGAAAAAACTTACAAGCCGCTGAGCTCCGCTGCCGTTAGCTGACATTCCGTTGCTATGGCAACTGTGGAATTGTGATGTGGCGATGACGTCACAGAGCACGGTATTTCAATTGAGGCGCGCCCATATAGAACAACAAAGAGCTTAGGCGAGTTTGAGGGTAATTTTACAACTATAGACCAGACGGCAGTCCTTAATGAGTCTCTAGATACAGTTTATAGACCCAAACAGACAGTCAGTTTGATAACTGTACATTAAGTACAGATTATTGATCTGTCAGTATCAGAACACCAGACTCAATGTCCACAGAGGTCAGCGAGGTGCTTCTGGAGGTTTACTTCAACAGCGCCTTCTACTCCGGGGAAAGTTACTGGGCATCAGATGATAAAGATGTGCAGCTGGAGTTTGAGATCACCGATGCCATCTACGACCTTCTCGGCTGCAGTGCACCTCAAGAGATAGATGTGCAGCTGGAGGTTGAGACGGACGATCACGTCTCAGTCGGTTACTGCAGTCCAGGAGAGATGCACGTGCAGCTGGAGGCTGATGAGAATCAGGACATCTCAGTCTGTGAAGTGAAAGATTTGCAGCTGGAGATGAACAGGAACGGCAGCGTCTCGGAGCTGAACAGCCCTGCGCTGCTGTCTGAAGATCTGAGCGACCCAGCAGGACCTTCTGTGGAAGAGGCCGATGATCAGGAGAACAGCCTGACAGGTGAAGACATGCATTATATGTCTTATTCATGTTTATTCGTATGGTTCGAGATACTTCTGATAGTGTATTATCATGTTGGCTTGACAAAGATGTAATACTGTTTTCCTATTATTCGTCCACTTCTTCTGACATCCTAATTTCCCAAGAGTAAAATCTCCTCGAGCTTTCAGGTTACGACTACCAAATTTGGCAGGGACCTTCAGGCTGATCTGAATATTGTTGCTATGTCTTTTCTAACTGATCTGACTAACAGAATTCCTGTAGCCGAGTTTCAAACACTGATGAATTCTGTGAAAACGCTGTGAAAACTTTTGCCCATAAGGAGTCGTTTAGAGTTTATCCACTCTATATCTGTCTATCTATCTATCGATCTATCGATCTATCTATCTATCTATCTATCTATCTATCTATCTATCTATCTATCTATCTGTCTATCTCTCTGTCTGTCTGTCTGTCTGTCTGTCTGTCTGTCTGTCTGTCTGTCTGTCTATCTATCTATCTGCTAAAAATTGATGGATACATGCTAGCAACAGCTAGCAGAGGAATCATAGTTGTTTGTAAAGGTCTAATTGGTTTTTGATGTGATTTCTTAGAAGTCAGATGAGGTCTAAAGGGGTTTAAAGTATGATTTTGATTTTCTCAGAATCCTCTGAGTAAAACATTTAAACTTCAAGCGTTTATTTTAAACTGTCAGACAAGGGTTTGGTCAAGTTTGTCATCAAACTTTACTTGCATCGTTTGTTTTCTTCTTTCTTCAGAAAGCACTGCTGGGTGGATGTTCAAGAAAATAAGTGCAGTCTTCCAGCGATTGACTGCAATCTTCCAGACAAAAGCACTGAATGCTGTTGGGGAACCTGAAGTGGATCTGATTGATCCAGAGGAATCATGTCTCCCAGATTCCAGCATTCCCGAGCCAGAACCTGAAGAGAATCTGGTCGATAGCGAACAATCGTGTGTCCCAGATCTCAGCGCTCCTGATCCAGAACCTGAAGTGGATGATCTTGATCCAGAGGAATCATGTGTCTCAGATCCAAGCACTCCCGGACCAGAGCCTGAAACGGATCTGGTCGATACCAAGCAATCGTGTGCACCAGGTCCAAGTGTTCCCGAGCCAGAACCTGAAATGGATCTGATTGATCCAGAGGAATCATGTGTCTCAGATCCAAGTGTTCCCGAGCCAGAACCTGAAGTGACATCAGAGCTTTCAAGGTTGGAAAACTACATCCGTCTAAACGTGTCCCAGCTGGAGGATCGTTTGAGGGAATGTACACTGTCCAAGACTCCTGTCACTGAGGTCTGGCCCAGGGTCTTCATTGGAAATGAGTAAGTAGTCACATCCTAATTTCCCAAGAGTAAAATCTCCTCGAGCTTTCAGGTTACGACTACCAAATTTGGCAGGGACCTTCAGGCTGATCTGAATATTGTTGCTATGTCTTTTCTAACTGATCTGACTAACAGAATTCCTGTAGCCGAGTTTCAAACACTGATGAATTCTGTGAAAACGCTGTGAAAACTTTTGCCCATAAGGAGTCGTTTAGAGTTTATCCACTCTATATCTGTCTATCTATCTATCGATCTATCGATCTATCTATCTATCTATCTATCTATCTATCTATCTATCTATCTATCTATCTGTCTATCTCTCTGTCTGTCTGTCTGTCTGTCTGTCTGTCTGTCTGTCTGTCTGTCGATCTATCTATCTATCTGCTAAAAATTGATGGATACATGCTAGCAACAGCTAGCAGAGGAATCATAGTTGTTTGTAAAGGTCTAATTGGTTTTTGATGTGATTTCTTAGAAGTCAGATGAGGTCTAAAGGGGTTTAAAGTATGATTTTGATTTTCTCAGAATCCTCTGAGTAAAACATTTAAACTTCAAGCGTTTATTTTAAACTGTCAGACAAGGGTTTGGTCAAGTTTGTCATCAAACTTTACTTGCATCGTTTGTTTTCTTCTTTCTTCAGAAAGCACTGCTGGGTGGATGTTCAAGAAAATAAGTGCAGTCTTCCAGCGATTGACTGCAATCTTCCAGACAAAAGCACTGAATGCTGTTGGGGAACCTGAAGTGGATCTGATTGATCCAGAGGAATCATGTCTCCCAGATTCCAGCATTCCCGAGCCAGAACCTGAAGAGAATCTGGTCGATAGCGAACAATCGTGTGTCCCAGATCTCAGCGCTCCTGATCCAGAACCTGAAGTGGATGATCTTGATCCAGAGGAATCATGTGTCTCAGATCCAAGCACTCCCGGACCAGAGCCTGAAACGGATCTGGTCGATACCAAGCAATCGTGTGCACCAGGTCCAAGTGTTCCCGAGCCAGAACCTGAAATGGATCTGATTGATCCATCGTGTGTCCCAGATCTCAGCGCTCCTGATCCAGAACCTGAAGTGGATGATCTTGATCCAGAGGAATCATGTGTCTCAGATCCAAGCACTCCCGGACCAGAGCCTGAAACGGATCTGGTCGATACCAAGCAATCGTGTGCACCAGGTCCAAGTGTTCCCGAGCCAGAACCTGAAATGGATCTGATTGATCCAGAGGAATCATGTGTCTCAGATCCAAGTGTTCCCGAGCCAGAACCTGAAATGGATCTGGTTGATCCAGAGAAATCGTGTGTCTCAGACCCAAGCGCTCCTGAGCCAGAACCTGAAGTGACATCAGAGCTTTTAAGGTTGGAAAACTACATCCGTCTAAACGTGTCCCAGCTAGAGGATCGTTTGAGGGAATGTACACTGTCCAAGACTCCTGTCACTGAGGTCTGGCCCAGGGTCTTCATTGGAAATGAGTAAGTAGTCTACTAATAAATACCATGCGTTGAATTAATAATGAATTGCAGGAGTACCAAAGACAATGATATTTCTCTTATTGATTTACAAGCGCTGTCATTTCATTGTAAATCGAAAGACCACCCTAGGCTGTTGTGTTTTTGTGCATAGAGACTGCATGGGACTGAGATAAACTGAAGGAGATGGGAATTACGCATATCCTAAATGCTGCAGCACCCAAGAAGGACCTGAAGTTCTTGTTGGGAATGGCAAGCGAGAAAGACCTACTAGGAACGGTCAATACAGGGTCCAGATATTACAGAGGCATGAACATCACTTACTGTGGCTTGCCTTCATTCAAACACTGGGCCAACATTAGCAAGTACTTCTTGCCAGCAGCCAAATTTATCCATAAGGCCTTGAGGAACCCAACGAGTAAGAGCTGACACACACACACACACACACACTGTTTTTGTAACTGTAACCGTCATTCTGTTCGTCTTTCCTCAGGCAAGGTTTTGACTCACTGCACACAGGGCCTCAGCCACTCGGCGACTCTGTTTCTGGCTTATCTGATGATTTGCCATGACATGCTGGTGGAGGAGGCTATTGATCACATTATAAAGGTGAGATGCATCAAGCCCTATTTCGGCCATCTGAAGCACCTGGCGTTCCTCAATGCCGAACTTGTGCTGCAGCGAAAACTAAAGTTACAGGGCAAAAAAACAGACAAAAAGGTGAAAAAATGGCAGATAAAAACAAAATAGAACACAGATTTTAAAAATGGTGCAGAGATTAAAAAAAGAAAAAATAGAGCACAAATAAATAAAAAAAAGTGGATAGATAAAAAATAGAGCACAGATAAAAAAAAGTGGATAGATAAAAAATAGAGCACAGATAAAAAAAAGTGGATAGATAAAAAATAGAGCACAGATAAAAAAAAGTGGATAGATAAAAAATAGAGCACAGATAAAAAAAAGTGGATAGATAAAAAATAGAGCACAGATAAAAAAAAGTGGATAGATAAAAAAATAGAGCACAGATTTAAAAAATGGTGCATAGATTTAAAAAGGAGCATAGATGAAAAAATGGATAGTTAAAAAATAGAGCTCAGATAAAAAGGTAACACTTTATTTCGATAGTCCACTTTAGACATTCTACTAACTATAAGTAACTTTGTAACTACATGTCAACTACATGTCAACTAATTCTCATTAATTTGCAACTACATGTCTACTAACTCTCAGAGTAGACTGTTAGGGTAGGTTTAGGGTTAGTAGAATAAGTTGACAAAGAAA